ATTGTGTCTACAATATTACAGCATAGTGGAAAAAGGTAATGCTTTGTGAAGAAAGGAAGTATATGTTTATAAACCAATTAACCATGTCTGGCAACAACAATATAAATAAATGTGTGGTTTGTATTCCTTGGTATATTTATTTTACTAGTTTCAGCAATATTCTCTTTTGAAAATACTGACAAAGCATGAATTGGACAGATTAAGTGCATGTTCGCATTATCACAGCATGACGAAGGCAGCCATCTTTGTTTTTACCTGAAACAAAATGTGCCATTTGTTACAGAATACGTGTTGAAATTAGAATTAATTAAAACAAATTATAACTCATAGATGCCTAAAAAGTAAATCCCTTGCTGCTGCAGTCATGCAGCTTTCTAGATGTAGTACCAGCTTACGGTGGGTAAAGTATTGTGGGAGTTTTCGTTCTACACCCATTGGGCATATACAAGGTTATCAACTAAAGGGAGAATTGAACGTGAATTGAAAGTGAATTTCAAATTTAAGGTCGAAATAGCTGAACTGAAAATAAAATGCTTCCAGCTATGCGTCCAGTTTGGCTATTTGGGCATTAAATTTGAAATTCACCTTGATAGATTTTAGTGAATAGTGAATAACCTTGATACATTTTGGCATCCCCTGATGTAACTATTTTTTTCATTGTCAAAGTCAGAGTACAAAGCTTTTCTTTAAGTAAGTTTAAAGCAGTACTTCATCTGTATGAAATAAATGCAATGTATATGCAACAGGGGCCTTGTAGAAACTATCTAGAACCAGAGTATAAATGTACATTATCTTCCCTAAAGAAATAATGGCGAGAGATTTATGGAGACAATGGGCTTGTGTATTTTGTCACAGTGTACATAGGAGCACAATTCAATCTTTTCATGGTTGAAAGTAATTTCTTCATGATTGTTGCTTTGAAGGGGGTTTGCCCTTAGCAAAAATAAGCAAAGCTAAAGAATGGGTAATTGAATGTACTGTTACTGAAAGAAATGTCTCCCTGACATTGGATATATGTGAAATGTTCTGGCATCGTAAATATATGGTTAATGCTCAGCTATTTCTATTAACTTTACAAGCACTCCCTAGCCTTGATTCCCATATCTTCTTCATTCTTGTTTCAGAAAATTCAGACAAACCAAAATGAGTCTTCTCTCTGCTGTCTCTACTTTGTCACACACACTCAGCAAGGTCTGTTTATACATAATTTAAATGTATTGGTTCATTATTGTTAGAAGCATCTTCCGCTTGGGGTGAAATACATTTCTATATTTTTTTTCTCTCTTTGTTATCATATCATTAATTAAAGTATCATTTCAAGCATTTGCCTTGGGCGGCATTTTCCAGGGGGCGGCAAAAAAAAACGCCCCCAAATTCTCAGGGCAAATGTCTTGTTAGCCTGGCGCCTAACAGTCCAGGCAGGCGGGCGTCTACGTAAAAATCCGTGGAGGTGGCGCTGGCGAGGGAGCACTTTCCTCTGAGATCTCTGCTCAGCTGCCTCTCGCGCCCCAGTGTGTGTGTGTGTGTTAGTGTTTGTTAGTGTGTGTCTGTTAGTGTGTGTGTCTATCTGTTAGTGTGTGTCTGTTAGTGTGTGTGTGTGTTTGTGTGTTAGTGAGTGAGTGTTTGTCTGTTAGTGTGTGTGTGTATGTGTGTGTGTGTCTGTCTGTTAGTGTGTGTGTCTGTTAGTGTGTGTGTCTGTTAGAGTGTGTCTGTCTGTTAGTGTGTGTGTGTTAGTGAGTGAGTGTTTGTCTGTTAGTGTGTGTCTGTTAGTGTGTGTGTGTGTGTCTGTTAGTGGGTGTGTCTGTTAGTGAGAGTGAATGTGTGTCTGTCAGTAAATGTGTATGTCTGCTAGTGATTGTATGTGTCTGTTAGTGAGTGTGTATGTCTGTTAGCTAGTGTATGCATGTCTGTCAGTGAATGTGTGTGTATTTACAAGGCAGGGCAGGGGGAAATGTTGGGGTGGTGCGGGGGAAGGGGCGCCCGAGTTTTGTCATGCCTAGGGCAGCACAAAACCAGGATACACCACTCTCCATAGCTAAGCTCTGCTCATATTGACTTAAACACCCACCCAAAAATACTACACTCCATGTCAAACATAAACCCTTAAATGTTCTAGAACTCCTGCTATGACACCAAATGGGAAAATTAATTCAGAGTATTATATACATTTGTGAACCTATATTTCTAAACCTCTAAATTGCTGTATGTTGGATGGACCCTCTAATAACCCCAAACTAGCAGCAATAAACCAGCACCTACAGCAACATGTCCACATTGAGCTACATTATGAACATGGAGCAATAAAGTGGCACTGTTACACAATATTTCATTTGAAGGGTCTTGAGACTAACCACCACCAAAAAACACCCCCTTACATTTTCAAGTCTTACAATACTAGCCTGGACTTAAATTTAACTAGACACCGGATGCTAGGCTGGAGAGCGGAACTGAATGGACTAGAGCTCTGTATAAGTGTCTCTGTAGCCCTAAACTTCCTAGTGGTGGGGGCATGCAGAGCTCTGAATTGTATTATCTTTTTCCTTTGTGCTGCCCTTCTTCCTGGCCTTAATGTTGAATCTTGGCTTGATCAGAAGCAGCACACTAGTGCAGTTCAGACAAAGATGAAGGGATAATGACACTCTAACCATGTTCCCCTGTCTCACTGTGCAACTTCTGCTCCCAGCCGAGACCCAACAAGTAGACCAGGAGAACACCAGGAAGACAATACCATGCATATGCAGTGTGTGCTTGTCTGTTTCTATGCAAGCATGCCTATATGTACCTGTCTGTGTGTACCTGTGTTTGTGTATGCCTGTATGTGACTGTCTGTGTGTGACTGTGTCTGTGTATACCTATATGTACCTTTATGTGGGTACCTGTGTCTGTACATGCCTACATGTACCTGTTAGTGTGTGCCTGTTTTGGTGTGTACTTGTGTCTCCATGCATGCCGGTGTCATTATGTCTTTATGCATGCATATGCATGTGTGTCTTAATGTGTGTGTCTCTAAGTATCCAGCTGTGTGTGTATGTCAAGCTTGACAAATTCCCTACTCGATCGAAACGCTTTTTTTTGCTCTAAATAAAGCAGCTATTTTGGCTGTTATCCTTGAGTGCATGGGTCAATATTTATTTTCTACATTTGATTGACAAGGACCAGCATCACACCAAAATATTACGCAAGCATTGGGCATATAAAATAGGGCATAGGGTCTACAACAGTCGCGACACTGGAATGATGATCTGTGTCTGCACACTTTGAGCCATCAGCAGCAAAAGTGAAGAAAGAATGATCCACGGCACCAATATGTGTGTGTCGATGACCAGAGGTTGCTGAAGCTATACAGTTGAATTTCATATATTGCAATTGTCAAGTCGTGGAATCTGAGAATGAACAGGTGTTGGGCTTTGAGGAAAAAAATCACCAAATTTAATTTTGGGGTTGAGCCTGGGTATTTTATGACCCCAGGCTTTGCAAACTGGCTCAATTTCTACTTGCTAGGTAGAATTTTCACTGACCAACTGTTAGTGGTGAGTTGAAATTTAGACTTCTGTATTGTGTCATTAAATAGATAAATAAATTTCAATCAATATAATTTGCATGATTTGGATTTGCAGCTATCTTTATGCTTGCTTGCAAGTTTCTAGTTTGCCTAAGGTTATAGCGTTGTATGTATATCCAATAAAGAAATTTCCAGGAAGTCAAACACGAGATACTGATATTCTCAAAACTTCACTATAGCTCAGGAAATAAATCACAGCTTAATTTCCTCTGAGATTTAACTTTTTTCCCGATAGTCACATGGTTGTTTGACCTCTCAACAGGGCCGGTGCAAAGAATTTTGGGTACATAGGCGAAGATGCATTTTTCCGCCCCCCCAAAAACATCTTCACCCATGTGCCTCTTAACCTCCCTTTTGTGTTTCTTATCCCGTCTTTTAAATATCTGACTCCCTTTAGTGTATTTTATCTCCTATTTTTTCCTTTGTGTGTCTCCTATCTCTCCTCTTTGTATGACTCTTACATCCTCCCACATTTTGTGTCTTACTCCTCCCAGCCCCTTTGTGTGACTCCTTTTCTCCCAGCCCATTTGTGTCTTTTATTCTTCCCAGCTCCTTTGTGTGTGTCTCTTTCCTTCTCAAGCCCCGCTGTGTGTTTCTTTCACATCCGGCCCCTCTCCCCGTCCCTTAATGGTCCCCTCCCTTCTCTGACCCTTACTGTTCCTTTCCCTTCCAGCCTCCTTTCCCTGTCCCTTAGTGTTCCTCTCCCCTCCCCCATCTGTTGGCTGTCGCTTAGTGTTCCTCTCCCCCCCTCCCTCCTTTTCCTGTACCTTAGGATATCTCTCCCCTCCTCTCCCTGTCCCTTGGTGCGCCACCCCCCCCCATAGTGGTCCCCTCCCCTTCCTGGTGTGCCTCCTACCTTTTTTTGTAGCGTGGCTGAGCGGAGCGAATCCCGGTACAGTGAGCTTTTCCTGTAAGTTCTGCCAGGTACAGGAAACAGAAGTTCCTGTACCACGGTACACTCCGCTTGGCCACGCTACAGTCAGGGGTGTATAAACACTGACAGTCACACACACACTCAATGACAAACATACAGACATCTCTGACAGCCAGACTCACTTATCTGACACACTCATTCATTGACAGACACTCACACGCACACTGACAGACTCATTGAAAAACACACACTGACACACACACACACAAACTCACAGACACTGACAGACACACGTACTCACATGCGCACATGCACATACTGACAGACACACATACTCACACACACACACTGACAGAACCACACACACTGACAGAACCACACAGACACACACACTCACACACACATACTCACATGCACACACACACTGACAGACATACTCACATGCACACACACACACTGACAGACACACATACTCACATGCACACACACACACTGACAGACACACATACTCACACACACTGACAGACACACATACTCACACACACACTGACAGACACACATACTCACACACACACTGACAGACATACTCACATGCACACACACACACACTGACAGACACATACTCACACACACACTGACAGACACACATACACTGACAGACATACTCACATGCACACACACACTGACAGACACACATACTCACACACACACACACTGGCAGACACACATACTCACACACACACTGACAGACACACATACTCACACACACACTGACAGACACCTCACTCTACACACACACTGACAGTTATACTCACACACCACACACACACACACACACAAGAGCTCACATAGTCACATAGTCCTTTTACACGCTGGCAGACACACATACTCACACACACACTGACAGACACACTCCTCACACACACACACACTGAACGAACCCACACTCACTCACACACACACGCAGGCGAACATACTCACACACACACACACACACACACACACTGACAGACACACATACACACACACACACTGACAGACACACTCACTCACACACACACTGACAGACATACTCACTCACTCACACACACACAAACTCACAGTCACATAGTCACACACACACTGACAGACACACATACTCACACACACACACACTGACAGACACACTCACTCACACACACACTGACAGACACTCACACACACACTCACTCACACACACACAAACAGTCACATAGTCACACACACACTGACAGACACACATACTCACACACACACTGACAGACACACACTCACACACACACTGACAGACACACTCACACACACACTGACAGACATACTCACTCACACACACACACAAACTCACATAGTCACACACACACTGACAGACTCACATACTCACATGCACACACACACACAGAAATTAAAAATCTTAATTAAATTTAAATTTCCCACCCAGCCTCCCTACCTGGAGAGCTGGCGTGGGTCTCTCATTGGTGGTCCAGTGGGGCTGCTGGGAGGCGTGCGGCTGAACTGGATGCCGAGGTGGCGAGGGAGCTCTGATCTCTCTGATCTGCTCCCTCGCAGGCTGCTGACTGATGCCGCGGGAGCCGGAATATGACGTCATCAGTCAGCAGCCTGCGAGGGAGCAGATCAGAGAGATCAGAGCTCCCTCGGCATCCAATTCAGCCGCACGCCGCGCCGGGGATCCAGGAGGTGACCTGGCAGGAGGGAGCACTTCCCTCCTGCCGGTCACTGGAATTTTGCGCCCCCAGAGCCGGTGCGCCCTAAGGCGGCCGCCTGTGCCGCCTTATGGACGCGCCGGCCCTGCCTCTCAATTAGCCTGGTGTCAGAGAGCAGCAAAGTGCCTGGCATTACAATGTATGTGACCACCTCTCAGCAAACAGAAAATCGTCCTCTAGCACGTTTCAATTTTCTCCTAGGAAGAATATCCCATTCACCTCTCAAACATAATGTTTTCATTTGACCTGACCCCATTTCCCTGGATTTGACACTTACAAATTGGCCAACTGGGATACCAGTAATAAGGTATCCAGGTTTCAAAACCATGCCACCTCTCCATATAATTCATATAGTCATGAACAATACTGTTTACAAATTAAAGTTGTGTAAAATCATGGGTGGGTATAAGTTGTTGAGAAGAAATTTAGTTTTTGCTTCAAAGTTGGAACCAGGCTATTACAGGAGAAAAGCAGGAGAGGGGTATTATTGTGCTTTTTCTGATTTTCAGAGACACATGCACCTTAATACAACAAAAATATGAATGAATACGATTGTCTCTCAGGGATATTCACGAAAGTGAGAAATCAAAGTGAATTGAAAGTGAATTTCAAATGTAATGTTAAAACTGCCAAACATCAAAAAATATATAAATTAGCCATGCTTTTAGTTTAGCATCAATTAGAATTTCACTTTGAATTTGCATTGACGTCTCACTTTTGTAAGAACCCTAATAGTGTACCTCCTAATTTACACAACAAAGGATGCATTCATTTATATAATTATATATATATAGTGTTCTTGCTCACTGCTAACTTATAAAGTAAAGTAAACTTACTTAGCGAATAAGGTTAAAAATATCAATGGTTGTGTATGGTTTTTATTTAGTGAAGATACTTAGACAAGATACTTATATTTTCCATTATAACCACATATTCGAATACCTGTGAGTACATTTCATTTTATATGTACTGAATATATGTATGTGTATATGAATGCAGCTCCGTCACCCGCAAATCATATATCCCAGAAATCATACACAATCTGACAGACAATGTGTATGTGTGATTTCTATTATATTGTACATGATTTGTGCTTTCCTCCCTCCTAATACTCCCTAAATAGGAACCCGGTCGGCTGCCACGGCTATTTTAAAAGCCAACCGGGCTCCTATAATAACAGCTGGCAGGGAGGAAATGACAGTGTGTCACTTCCTCCCTGCTTCACAGAGAGTCGCCCCGGAGGAATGGAGGAGGCTGAAGCACACAGCAGCATGAAGACAGAGGAAAGGCTGGAATGTGGCTGCATGTTCACCCCCATCAGCCTCAGCCAGAACCAGAACTCCAAGCAAGTCACCCTCCTGGATACAAAGGTAAGCCAACAGGAGGGTGGTTGCAAATATATAAAGTATGACATGTGTGTATGTCAGTGGGTGGGTGTATGTTCCAGTAAGTATGTCAGGGTGTGTATCCAAGTGTATGCATATATATGATGAAAGCTCCTTAGGGGAGCTGAAACATTAATGATGATGTATTTCTCAGAATAAAGAAGACTATATTTTGAAAATCCTTGGAGTGCCGGTACCTTTTGTTATTTTATATTATTGAGCTACCAGAGCACCGGGTCATTTTTTAATCATTTTTTAATTATTGTTAAGTTGGAGTGCAGGAGTTTACTATATGTATATATATATATATATATATATATATATATATATATATATATATATATATATATATATATGTATATATGTGAAAGTGTATATCTGTATGTCAGTGTGTGTACATGAGTGTGTGTGTGTGTGTGTGTGTGTATGTATCTCTGTGTCACTGTGTATCTAAATGTTTGTGTATGTGCCAGTGTGAGCTCATTCTGAGTGCATGTGCAAGTGTGCTTGTCAGTGTGTGTATCTGAGTGTGTGTGTGCCAGTATGTATATCTGAGTATATGTGCAATATGTGTGAGTCGCTGTGTGTATGTGAGTATGTGTGTCAGTGTGTGTCAGTGTGTGTATTTGAGAGTATGTGTCAGTGTTCGTATCTGTGTGTGTGTGTGTGTCAGTGTGCGTATCTGTGTATCAAGGTATTCATACATGTTTGGTGGTGTGTGTGTGTGTGTTGGGGAACGTGTCAGCGTGGGGGGTGGGGAGCAGCACTGTAGTTGGTGAAGCCACCTCTCTTAAATGCATTCCTGCATATTGGGATGTATGATCGTTTATTACATTCAATTAAACTTAAGATTTTTTAATGGTTGTATATTATTATTATTATTTTTAATTTTACTGTGCTCAGCAGCCATGTTAGGTCAGATTTTTCTGTTTTCTGACCAACTGCTGCTCAACCTAACTTGCCTGCTGTTGCAGTTTCACGCAGAGTTATTGCAGCAGCTGTCAATTTAGATTCAGTAGCAGCTGGTCAGTACTAGAATCTGAATTTTCTCAATAAAATCAATATGTATCAGTTTACAAATATAACTGTTTCATTAAATGTAATACATTTTTAAAAATGAGAAGTAAAAACTTGGTGACAGTTGTCTTAAGATATTTAGTTTAACATTAAATAAAAAATAAAATACACATATGGTACATAATAAATGAATATCCTGTGTCTAACTGCATTTGTTTCAGTAAATATGTTGTACTCGGTGGTACTTGCATGTCAGTCAGAGAACTTGAATACAGATTAAAGGGAAACTATAGTTAATGTCCTGGCACTACAGCACCCCCACCACCCACCTCCCCCCCACGGGTGCAGAATAAATAGGTGGGCATTTGCAGGCTTAGCAGCCATCCTAAAATTCAGTTGGTAACACCACACACCTCCCCCCCACGGGTGCAGAAGGGGTTAAAAACCCCTTCAGTCATTTGCCTGATTTCAGCACCGATGTCCCGCGGCACTGGTTTAAGCTCCAACTTAGCTCTTTCGACATGCCCCCATTAGGAGTTGTCCCATAGGAAAGTATTCTATAAAGCCTATAGTGCCTATAGTATCCTATAGTTGGAAGAGAGTAGTGGTATACAATATATGCACAATCTTGGGAACTCGCAAACACGCCTCTCTCTTTCTTTTGCATACAGTTATCTTGACTGTAACTGAAAATGTGACTGGTCAGTCATATTTTTGTCTAGAGAGTCTTTGGGTATGTTATATGAAATCTAGATAGTATAGCGACAGTCCGCTCTCCAACACTGTTTGCTTTTTAATTTACAGTGTGTGGGGCTGCACCATTGCCAAGAGAATGATGCATTGTTTTTCCTTCATTGCCAATGCTCAGTGAGACCTTGTATCAATTTCAAGCAACTATTCAAACGACTGAAATAGAGAGTAATAGGTATTGTAACTCTCATAGGAATGGACTTAAAGATTTTTTTATTTTTTTTTGCTAAAGTACCACCTGTGATTATTGATGTAACATATACATACCTTCCTGCAAATTCTGTTTTAATATTAACCCTATGTATCCAAGTATCTCACTATACTGGATATTTGCTGTATTAATTCACTTTTATTCTTATTTTTTAGGTAAGTGTTAATATACAAGTCAATTTGTTTTGGAGTAATTTTGGGGTATTTTATGTCTACATTTGGTTCTGTAGATTGTTTGCTATCACCATTGTGTTTATAAATTTGAGGTAAAACAGTGCCAAAGGGCAATATACTTTAATTTCAGTTTGAATGTATTGCCTTTTGGTACTGTTTTATGTTTGTCTGTCTGACATTGATAGTAGAAGAATCTGCATGTGCTTGTGTGGCTACATTAATTTATTTTAGGGCTATAAGGAAAATAAATAGCAAATCTCATAAGTGTACAATGTAAAATGATGCATGCAGCATTCAACATTGTGTTTGAGTGTTTGTGTTTAGAAGTATATATAATTTAGTGCATTACCCTTTAAAACTTTGTTTGTAGTTATGTCTTACTTATTTGGTTATTTGCTCTACAGCAGGGGTAGTCAACCTTTTTCTACCTACTGCCCACTAATGCAGCTTTCTTGATGGAAAAATGTCCTTACCGCCCACCAGTTTTCGCACAAGTGCAGAA